GGCCAGGTCTCAGAGGTCTCCATGTCCCCTCCACCTGGTTCTGTTTGTTGGACAAGTCACCAAGTCCAGCCCACGCGCGAGGGATGGGAATGACACTGCCTTTTGAGGAGTGCTCAGGAATGCATGGCCGCGTTTAAACTGCCGCCCCGCGGCCAGTCACCTGGGTCTGTGCCACTTCAGGATGCACAGGCCTCTCCTGGCCCCGCAGGACGGGCTCACCTGCCTCCACCCCAGGCCGTCCTGGTGTTTGTGGCCACCCCAGGCCGTCCTGGTGTTTGTGGACTTCGCTTCACCCTGCCAGCATGCGGCTCGTACTGGGAGGCCCATGGGCTCCGAGAGGACCTCCCTTCAACCTCCAGGCACCTTGAGACTGCCCAGCAGCCAAACCTCAGAGCTGTGGAAGCTCCTGGATGTTCAAAGACCCACTTAATATTTAATAGTCAGTGCAGCATTAATTTCATTGCTCCCCGATCCCACATATCGAAACCTTTCACAGTTCAGTACAGGGATGGTGGTGAAAGAGAAACCACAGGGAAAATCCAAGGCAGTGGGATTGTTTAATTTCCGGTTGCTTCTCCTTTTATTTGTAATTAATATCCATTCAGCATTTTTAAAGCTTACAAAATGCTTCAAGCACATTCTCATTGGAGTTCTGTGATTTGTAAAACAGGCATGTGAAAAAATTGGAAGCTAAGGAAATAGGAATTCAGAGAAGGTACACTGAAAGTCAGCCTGAACTTGAACCCACGCCTTCTGGCACCGAACGTCCCTGTTCTCGTCACTGCAGCACTTTGCTCTGTGTGTGGAAAGCGTGAAGGGCCCCTGCAAATGGGCATGATGCTGCCTCCTCCACAGGTTTATTTTTGTGAAATCAAACAGAATACTGTTTGTGCTTAAAAACCATCCTGCGCCCCCATCTGTAAACGACATCGTCCCTGGTACTTCCCAGCAGGCGCTAAGCACCGCCCACACTGCCGGCGCCTGACCAGACAGCTCCACTGAGCTCCTGACCCAGCTTCAACCCGCCGGGAGCAGCTCCCGGGGAATGTGCAGAAAAGTGCCTCCAACACCCGCCCTTTCTGCCCCTCGGCCCCTGTGGTCACTCTCCCCTCCACAGTCCTGACCCCGCAGTCGGTCACTTACTGCCCTATGCATCTTCCTGAAGCACCTGCACTGTTGCCTCATCTTTGTCCTCTTCCTCCTATGCCCTCGCCTGGGCCCTCAGCGGCTTCCAGCAGGGAGGGTGCGAGTGCAGTGATTCGGCACCTGTGCTTCATGTCATGCCCCCTACTCCTCACAGCCTCTTCCCAAACGAACCGGGTGTGGCGTGCTGGGCCTTTATTCTTCTGGGACACAAACACAGGACTGCTGATTGGTCTCTCACATAGACCCTGGAGTCTGGTCCTTTCGTCTGGGGCAAAAGGAACCAAGGAGGAAATTCCAGCCGCACCACATTTGCAAACGACACACTGTCGGGCTTTTTTTGCAATAACTGCATTTCTTAAATAATTCAGGCTTTGGATTGAGAACGTGTCTGTCACTTTCCTTTATAGAAATAACCTTTTGTAAATCAATGTACTGTTACTTTATAAAGCCAGACAACTGTCTCTAGATAGACAGCAATAAAAGCTACCAACTGTGAACTGCTGTTTCTGTTCCGTTCACTCATGGATGCTCTTCTGCATCACACTGGGACCTATTAATTGACATTAAATGACACACCCTACAAATGAAACAATAGTCACCGAGGGTCAGAGGGTCGTGTCTGATGTGCCTATGCTCATGTCAACAATAGGTGCCTTCTCCAGCTGTCCCTTTCTCGGGCTGAAGCACCTCAGTGACCCAGATCCCTGCAGGCACTTGGCATCGTTGTGTGCGTCCCTCCGCCCCAGCCAGGAGAGTGCTTTTTGCAGAGGGAGGGGTGTAGCCTGCCTGGTGTCTCCGTCTCCTACCCCTGCGCCTTCCCAGCTGGGTGGGTGGGTCTGGAGGGGTGTAGCCTGCCTGGTGTCTCCGTCTCCTACCCCTGCGCCTTCCCAGCTGGGTGGGTGGGTCTGGAGGGGTGTAGCCTGCCTGGTGTCTCCGTCTCCTACCCCTGCGCCCTCCCAGCTGGGTAGGTGGGTCTGGAGGGGTGTAGCCTGCCTGGTGTCTCCGTCTCCTACCCCTGCGCCTTCCCAGCTGGGTGGGTGGGTCTGGAGGGGTGTAGCCTGCCTGGTGTCTCCGTCTCCTACCCCTGCGCCCTCCCAGCTGGGTAGGTGGGTCTGGAGGGGTGTAGCCTGCCTGGTGTCTCCGTCTCCTACCCCTGCGCCTTCCCAGCTGGGTAGGTGGGTCTGGAGGGGTGTAGCCTGCCTGGTGTCTCCGTCTCCTACCCCTGCGCCCTCCCAGCTGGGTAGGTGGGTCTGGAGGGGTGTAGCCTGCCTGGTGTCTCCATCTCCTACCCCTGCGCCTTCCCAGCTGGGTGGGTGGGTCTGGGCTGAAGCAGCTGCTGCAGGTGGAGCGCCCGTCACTCACGGGCTCTGCTTTTGATGCCTCTACTACAATGGAGCTTCTGTTTCTGCCTGCATTTATGCATCACTGGGGTGAGAAACTCTTTTTCCTTCTTTCTAGACCTTTCTCTTCCTGCTGCACTTCTGAAGGACCTCATTCTCCCTTCTCCCCTCATTAGCCATGACAGTCCACAGGGAGCGTCGGCCCCAGCAGCTTGTGCTGAGACCACCGTGGCCCTGTGGTGCAGGTCTTCTCTCGGGCATGCTCACTGCAGAGTTCTGCGGTGTTTCTGCAGTTTTCTTCTCCACTCAGCATGTAGAGAGATCGCCCATGGCATGGAGAGATTGCCCAGGCCCACAGAGACCTCGCCGCGTGGAGGGTTTGCCCAGGCCCGTAAAGCCCCCGCCACGTGGAGAGGTCACCCAGGCCCGTAGAGCCCCCACAGTGTGAGGAGGCACAGAACAAGCACAGGAGTCCACTGACCTGGTGTGTCACACCCCGGGGACCACCAGTGGGCGTGTTCAAGGCTCCACTGACCAGGGCGCTGCCAGGTCTGGCTCAGGCAGTGGCTTTGCCTCTGTGATGGGTGTGCCGCCCCTCTTTCTTCCTGTGCTCCCTCTGTGCTAGCCTGAGGGAAGTCTGTTTCCTTTTTTTAGTAAATTTTAATTTTTGTGGATACTTAGTAGGTGTTTATGGGTTATAGGAGATACTTTGATACAGGCAGGCAATGCGTAATAATCACATCAGGTAAATGGAGTATCCATCCCCTCAAGCATTGATCCTTTGTGTTGCAACAAGCCAATTATACTCCCTCAGTTATTTTTTTAATGTACACTATAGTCACCCTTGTACTAGCAAATACTAGGTCTTATTCATTCTAATTTTTTTTTGTACCCGTTACCATCCCCACTCCATCCCCCACTACTCTTCCCAGCCTCTGGTAACCATCCTTCTGCTCTCCATCTCCATGAGTTCAGTTGTTTAATGTTTAGCTCCCACAGATAAGTGAGAACATACAGTGTTTGTCTTTCTGTGCCTGGCGTACGTCACTTACACGGTGACCTCCAGTTCCATCTGTGCTGTTGTAAATGACAGGATCCCATTCTTTTTGATGGCCGAGTCGTACTCCATCGTGTATATGTAGCAAGTCCTTTCTCCCGTTGTCTGCTGATGGGCACTTAGGCTGCTTCCAAGTCTCGGCTGTTGCGAACAGTGCTTCAGCGCACACGGCTGTGCAGAGATCTCTGATAGACGGATTTCCTTTTTTTTCTTTGGGGTGTGTATCTAGGCGTGCATTGCTGGGTTGTATGGTAGCTCTATTTTTTGTTTTTTTGTAGAAACCGCAGACTGTTCTCCGTAGTGGTTGCACTGATTTGCATTCCCACCAACTGTGTACAAGGGGTGAGGGAAGTTAATTTCATGGGAACACCAAGCCTTCCATTTTTGTCAGTTTCTGTTGTTATGATCATTCCTTAGAAGACAGATTCACTGAAGAATGTTGTTTCCCTAGTTTAAACTGGCTAGATTCTTTTCAAGGTTACCATTTTGAACCCCACGTTGTCCTCTGAGTCATCGAGGTAGCCCAAGATAACGGTTAAGAGGAAAAATCCTTTGTGTTGACAGCAAGCTGTTCTCCAGTTTGTGTTAAGTAACGGCCCCTGCGGGTGAGGAGAGGCCGCCTTCGTCCTCAGTGTGTGTAGACCAGGGAGTCGGAGACACGGAAATCCTCACCTCCTGGGGCGGGTCATGTGGGGAGTGTTAAATGGCAAGATGATCTAAATTCTCTACCCAGATCACAGCAGCAACAGCAGCTTTGCTTTCAGAGAAAACAAAACACAAAAGAAGTGCCCAAAAGTTACAAACCAAGCAATAAAAACTGTGGAAAGTGACCTGGTGTTGCACAAAACGTTTTTGGTACATTAAAAAGGCCACTAGCACAGTGCCCTGTGGGAATGAGACTGACATTTTCACAGAAGGTCATCACCACTCTCATGTGACATACTCGATGCTTTTTTTTAAAGACAGGGTCTCACTCTGTCACCCAGGCTGGAGTGCAGTGGTGCAGTCACTGGTCACTGCGGCCTTGAAGCCTTGACCTCCCAGGCTTAAGTGATCCTCCCACCTCAGCCTCCCAGGTAGCTGGAACCACAGGTGCACACCACCATGCCCAGCTAATTTTTTGTATTTTTGTAGAGGTAGGGTTTTGCCATGTTGCCCAAGCTGGTCTCAAGTGATCCGCCTGCCTCGGCCTCCCAAAGTGTTGGGATTACAGGGTTGATGCTTTTCTTAAAAAACATACTTCCTATGTATGATGTCTGCAGATACTTCAAGAACATCATAAACACCACTTTCACCATCAGCGGGGAGCAGAGTCCCTGCCCGTTCATTGTCACCCCACGCCATAGGGACTGGCGATGTTTACAGTGTGTCCCTGTGGGTGAACTGGGTAAGGAAAAGACGGTGCACATACACCATGGAATACTACGCAGTCATAAAAAAAGAACCAAATCATGTCCTTTGTAGCAACGTGGATGCAGCTGGAGGCCATTATCCTAAGTGAATTAACACAGAAACAGAAAACCAAATAGTGAATGTTTTCACTTATAAGTAGAAGCTAAACATTGGATTCACATGGACCTACAGAAGCAAAAAATAGACACCAGGGACTACCAGTCGGGGGAGGGTGGGATGGGAGGAACGGCTGAAAAACGATCTGTTGGGTCCCACGCTGACTACCCGGGTGATGGCTTCAATCATACCCCCAACCTCAGCATCACCCAGTAAGCCCAGGTAACCTGCACACGTACCACCTGAATCTAAAATGAAGTTGCAATTTAAAATAAAATATCAAATGTTTTAATATTTTTTTAAATGTGTGTGAACATCCCTTGACAAATTGTTTTCATCCAGAGAAATTTGCTGTACTGAGAATATATTTTAACAAAGTCTTAGACAAAAATTGGTTCCCATGATTTTGTCCTTCTCATTTGGAATGATTGCAGATCCTGGCCAATTTGGAGCAAGGCTTAGCAGAAGACGGGGCCATGAGCAGCGTGACTCAGGAGGGCAGACAAGGTGGGTCGGCCGGACTTTGCTGACTAGATGCTTCTCGGACGTCATTGAGAGACTGAGTCCAAAGCCTCTCGCTTCCTCTTGTCCTTTCCTTTTCTCAGTCAGCACTGCACACATCCCTTCGTGCATTTGCCACTCACCCCTTTCTTTGGGAAGCCAGGCACATCACTGGGTGACGCTGCGGGTGCAGTGTGCAGCCTCAGACCCGAGCCCTGCACACGGGGAGAAGACTCGCCTCCACCACAGAAGCACACGGCCCGGAACCTGGCACGCCGAGTGGTGGTCTGAGTGGGTGTGAGGAAGGAGCCCAGCCCAGCTGAAGGGGCCCAGAGAGGCCTCCGCGTCAGGGACAGAGGCTCGGGAGGGTGCTTCAGAAGGAGCAGGAGTGGAAGATGGGCACTGCCCGGAGCCTGGGGGCAGGCTGAGGGGGCTGGGCAGTTCCCTGAGGCATTGGAAAACCCCTGGGGTACTGGGTGGGTTGACATGAGCCCATCGGCGCAGTGAGGCCGTGACACGGGCCGATCCGCGCAGTGAGGCCGTGACACGGGCCGATCGGCGCAGTGAGACCATGATATGGGCTGATCCGCACAGTGAGGCCGTGCCAGCTGCGTCTCGGGGAGTGCCTTAGCCAGGAGCGAGCTTCCGATCACGGTTGGAAACCCGGCCTGAGTGCTCCCTCCCGGGCAGCCCCGCCGAGCCTCACTCCCTCACTGCTTGTGGCAGCGTCTCCCCACAGGCCTGGTTGCCTGGTCATCTCCTCCTTCCCATAGCTTCTGTCCTACTCGGTGTGCAGCCCAAGTCGGGACCGGGTGGTCTGCGTTTCTGCAGGTGTGCTGGGGTTTCTGGGGAACTGCTGGCTGGTGTGAGCTGAACATGTGTGAGGTGTGTATGTGGTGGGTGTACGTTGAATGTGCATGTTGTGGCATGTGGTGTGTGTGTGGTGTGTGCTTGTGTGTGCACTTGTGCGCTCTCTTTTCAGTAATTTAATTGAAAGCAGAGTAACAAGGTCTGAAGGAGAGATGTCGCCATCTGCTCCTGGATGTCCCATCCAGCACTCTTGGCACCCAGTCATGTTACCCCTTGTTGGGCTCCCGCTTTGGTGGGAATGAGCATGTAGTTATCAGAGAGCAGAAGGCTGTTCCTGGAAATCTAACAAAAGGTTACACCATGAGCATTTCTAAGGAGGGTAGGGGAGGATTTAAAGCAGGAAAAGAAACTGCAAAGATCATCAGAATAAATATGCAATTCATTGAGATAATCCATATTTTACCTCCATTAAGAGAAGATATTCAGAATTTCTTTTCACAAAAGTAATGGTACAAGGGGAATATAAGCAGCTAATGCGGTTTTAATTGCTGAAAGGCAAAGAGAGTTAAGTTTTTAATTCTAGCAATTAAGTTTCTGTGTGTTCTCCTGAAGCACACGGTGAATACACGTCATTTCCAGGTGATTGTTATCTCACTGTGGACACGTGGTGCCAGCTGCGGGAGGAAGGTCAGCTTCAGCCTCCTAAATCGCAGCCTCAGAGGCAGCCGGGGACACACGGCTCCCTGTGCCCAGCAATGAGGGAGGCTGGGTGCGCTCCCAGGCACTGGTGCTGCCCAGGGTGGCATCTTGGCATTCACAGTTGGGGTGTGGACTTTTCTTAGAGGAAGTGGGCATAGTACAGGCGCAAGGAGCACCGGACAGGGGGTCAGATGGAAATGTCCCTGTCCTCTCTGGACCTCAGCTTGCCTGTCGATAACATACTCATTTCAGATGAGCTCAGTCCTCAACCTGCGCCTTCCCCCTGGCCATCCCAGTAATAAACAGGTGCTATTGGTCAGCCCGCCCTCCCCCAGGGGCCTTTGCAGACCCCAGCAAGTCCACAAAGCCAGTTTGGAAACTTCTAGAAGAGATGGGCCCTGAAGGTTTGAAATCAGTGGAGGGATGGCTGCTAACTAATGAATGTGCAGGGGAGAGCAGGGAGGGACGGGCCAGGCTCAGGGTCGCAGTCAGCCACCGTGAGGCAGTGGGTGCTAGGGAAGGAAGCTGGCTGCAGGGGAGTGCCAAGTCCCTAGCGAAATGTGCCAGCCACTTGAGTTCTGGACCAGGGTGTGGCACTCCTTGGGGGAACTGGCATCTGCACCAGCCCATGGCCGGGAGGCAGGGGAGGCCTTGTGGCTGGGCATGGGTAGGGCCTCTGGGTGGCCTCCCATAGGTCAACTGTGAGAGGCTGGCGGCCACCCTGGCCAGTGGCCCTCCTGGCCTTGTCGAGCTACAGACAATGTCGTCATTTCTGTCAGCTCTGCTCCTTTTCTCAGGGTTCTGGCTGTGGAAACGGGGCTTCCGGTCAGACCGTTTGGCTTCGTGTCTGGGCTGATGCTGAGCAGCCGCCCTCCTGGTTCTCTTGATGCCGAGGGTCTCTTCCCAAAGACCCCTCTGGTCCCAGCGCGAGTGCTGTATTTTCTGCCTCAGTGCAGCCTGCAGCATATTCAGCATTCCATGCCGAAATCCAGTGGTTATTAGCAAGAGAGATCTTTTAAAGTTAAATTAGAATCCACAGGACCCAATAATTGATGGCTAGAAAGAGCCTCAAATGTATTTGTGCACTCACAGGCTGCTCTTACCTTGCAGCCTCTGTCCGGTTGTGGAGGTCACGTCTGGGCCGGGTGATGTACTCCATGGCAAACTGTCTGCTCCTGATGAAGGTACGTGGGTGGCCGAGCAGGGCCGCCATGGGATCTGGAAGAGGGTGTGTCAGTGGGAGCCGTGAGGGAGCCGCTGGTATAATAGATGCTGGCAGGGACGGGCCGGTGTAGCCATGAGAGAAGCCAGCTAAGCACTGGCTTCACAGGGAGCCCAGTGACACATTACGGGGCTATATTTACTTTCATTTCTACTGCAAGAAATTTCAACAGAATGTAGAATTTACATGATCAGATTTCATTATTGAAACGTGGGTCTAAATGATTTAATTTAAAGCGTTGTTCATTTTCCCCCGTTTTTCTCTGAATTCCATCCCCAGAAGGTGTCCTTTGTTCTCCCTGTCTGCGTGGAGGGTGTTTTTTTCGCCTCTTGGTTTTGATTTTATGATTGATGCTCGCAACACCTGAAGACAAGCTTCCCCACAAGACCTTCCTAGGACGTCACCCAGAGCTCTCAGCCCCCAGGAAACAGCTTAGAAATCAGGGAGCTGAACTGAGGCTGTCAGTTGTTTTTCCGTGTCTCCTGGCTCTCGCTAGCCTGTGCAACGGTGTTTTTTGGCTCCTCTCTTTGTTTGGAATGCACGCACGCCTGGCTCACCTCCCACACTGGGCGTCGGGGTGCCCTGTGTGGAGCTAGTGGCCCTGCAGCCAGCTGTGCACGCTGAGAGCTGCTGCAGGAATCAGCTAGCAGCAGAAGCCCCGGAGCAGTGCTCACACCACCTCCTGGGCTGTTCTAAGACAGTGATCGTAACTCCTCCCACACCCATGCGGCTTTCATGTGGCCAAGGTCGTTCCTGAGTTTGATTTTCAGCGAGGCAGAGCAGACAGTTTACCAGGTTGGAGAACCGTGCTCGCAGGCTCCGTCATGAACCCTGAAGTGGCAGCCCTGCTTTATGCACGGACCCTGCAGCATCCCCAGAGGCGACTGTGGCCGGGGGCACTGCTCCGAGCAGGCTGGGTGTGGGTGTAGATTCACAAACATCAGCAGCTCAGGCACTCCGTCAGGAAGGTGTGCAGCACACACCCCGGCTTTAGTGCCCAGCGCAGGGCCCCTGCCTTTGAGTTTCTGCAGCTGCGTCGGGCTGGACGCACAAGGAGACTCAGGGCATCCTGTTCGTCCTCGGTAGCAAGCACCCGTGACGCAGCCTCGCACTGCTGCAAGCCTCAGCGTCCTCCTTCAAAATAAGGGCGTAGATCTGAGATCTCTGAAATTCCTCCCAGCTCTGACATTCACACAGCTCTCTCCTCTCCTTCAGCACACTGGATAAAGGAAATTACGGTTTTTAAGTTCTGTGGTTTTGCTCAGAGCAGGTTTTTCTTCCGTTGCCACCCCTGAGATATTCCCACTGAGGTCAGGTGCCTGCATGGTCACTTTGTTCTGGTCCTCACCCTCCTCCCACCTGCCCCCCTTCCCTTCTCCAGCCCCCTCTGGCTTCTGCAGCAGGGCTTGCCCACCTCCGAGCGGGGGTGAAAAGTAGGCCCTCCCGCTCCCCTGCCCTGGGCCTCCGTGCTGGAAGGTGGGAGGTGGCCTCTTCACCCAAGGCTGGGCCAGCAACCAGGTGACCCCGAAGCACCCGGCCTGACCCCTCTACCCCTCAAAACAGGCCATTCTCCCAGTGCTGCCTGTGGCCAGCCCTGACACCCCACCTGGCAGTCTGGGCGGTCCACAGTAGGCCTCTACCCGCTGAGAATACTATCGGCTTCACCTGAAAGTCACCAGCTTGCTGGAACATTCTTATGCAAAGACATGAAGAACCAATTATAAATTCACAGGACTGGTGTTTCACTAATCATGGGGCTAAAACTCCCCAGGGAAGAAAGTTCCCTGTTCCCCTGGCAGGCTTTTATTTGCATTTTAAGACACATTACTAGAAAACGATGGAGTGAGCTTTTCTTTGTTGCCCTGTAGTAGTAACACCACCACTAGGCTCCAAATGGGAGTCTTCCTCCTATATTGCTGGGACTCAGTACAGAACATATTATTGCATTTCAAAAATACTTTTACAATGGACGTGATTTAATTTGAAAGTTCAGCTTAAGCTTTCATTTTCCTGAGTTAAAAAAAGGAGCAAAAAAATGTTGCAATTAAAGCCAATCCAAGCATATGCACTCTCTTGCCATCTAGTGAGCATACAGGGTATTGCAACAGTGTGTGGTCTTAATAATAAGGGGGTATCCTGTTAATTAAATTATGTGTATGGGCTAACAATGAGTTATTTAATCAGCCATTTAATTATCTTGAATAACATTTTTATTACAGTGAAATAAATATCAATTTAACTTCTTAACAATGAAATGTATTCATATGTTTTAGCCCTGGATAAATCTGCATGATATGCTACAATGCACAGTGGCACGTATTATAAAGCATTGAAAATGTCACTATCTTCACTTTTTAAATACTGCTTCCTCTCCTTAGGCCTCACCGTAGCCTTAGGGCACCTGCACTGGCAGACTATATGGATGCAGGTGCCTGCCACCTTAGGTGGCCTGGGCCCCCCTCCCCCGGTGCCCCTGGGAGTCCACTTCCCTCCTGGTGTCCCCACAGCTCGCCAGTCTGCACATCACCACCCGCCATGGCTCCGCACATGATGGAAAGGAGCAGGCAGCTGCATCAGCTACCTTCCGTCTTGCTGGAATTAGACTGCACAAGTCCTTTCTGGTTGCAGAACAGTTGTAAATCTAGTTTCACAGCCAGTAAACCACGTGTGGCTGCTGAAAAGAAATGGTGAAGATTGAGCTAAAATAGGCTTGTCCCTGGAAGCAAGTCATTCATGTCCTTCACAAAGCCAAATCTACGTGATCTGGAGAGTAGGTTAAGCTCTCTCTAAAGAGCTTCTTTTGGCCATTTTCCCTGATCGGAAAAGCCGGTGGGTGCAGCCCCTGTTGGAAGGCAGGGCTGCTCCCCTAAACTTGTCCGATCAGGACCAGCCCAGGGTGTGCAGGCCCCGCCTCTGCATCAAGGGTGCCGTGTCCATCCCAGCTGCAGCCTCAGCCACCCCGAGTGCCCCCATGCCAGGTCACAAAGCCCTCCTCTGTGCAAGGGAACTCACACATGCTCACACACACGCACACACACGCTCACACACACGCTCTCATGCTCATACACGCACGTTCACACACACACACACACACGCTCTCATGCCCATGCACGTTCTCACACACTCACACTCGCACAATTAGACAGCAGAGACAGGCAGCAGGAAGGCGTGGGAAAGGAGACTGAGGCATGTGCTGTCTGGCTCCTCATGGGCGTCAGGCCTTGAATAAAATGAGTTTTAATGAGCTGTACTCGAAGGTACTAGACTGGAGACAGTCTTTTTGTTTTTTTTGGGTTTTTTTTTCCTTCCTACCAAACTGGAATTGTACTTGTCTGTCTTTCTTTGTAACATCCCAATTAGCAAGCATAGTAACTCCAGTCCCAGTTTGGAGGAAATGGAACATGTAGAAGAATAAAGAAATAAAAGTACCTTCTGGGATTTTACGATGAATAAGTAAGAAGGAAAACACCATTGGTGGCCGTCGTTATTGCTGACCGAGTGCTTATAGCTAAGTGCTAGAATGCAGGGGAGTATTTAGTGCAGGGCCTGCTGCACAGAGCTCGCTCAGTAAATGTGGCGATCACTGTCTTACTAGAGAGAGCCCGGGTTTGTTGGGGACTTGAGACAAGCTACCACTGTGTCCCACATGACTCTGGCAAGACCTTCCTGCACTGAGACCGCTTTGCTCACACCTGGAAAGGGTGACTGGGTCCACTCAGCGTCCACCAAGTGCCTGCGATGGGCCGGCATGAGCAGGCAGATGGACAGTGAGACGGTGCTGCCAGGCCTCGTCCTTGAGGAGGGGCTGCGGGCCAGACCACCACAGACAGAGCAGAGTGATGAGGGATCCAGCAAGGCCCTTGGCAGAAAGCAGATGCCCTGAGCATGGCAGCTGGCACAGCGCTCCTAAATGTTCCCCCGTAGCTGTCTCCGAAACGGGAGGGTCTCACGCGTGCCACAGAGACCAGACGACATTCACGCATTCTGCTCTGCAAGGGTGACCCCCATTGCCATTCTCAGCCTCGGCAAAGTTGTTTGTGGGTTTTCTCTACATTTAAAGATTTGACCTTAGTTTCTAGCATAGAAAACGTTTAAGAGACACTTTAAAAATTTGGCTTATGTATTTGGAGGATGGAGATGAGACAGCGTTCGCCTATTCACATAATAACTTTGTCAGGAAAGAGAGTTAGGTGCGGTCCAAGGGAAATATGAATTGCTGTTTAGAAGATGGAAGCAGGAAACAGACCCTCAGGCCCAACTAAACCCCGACAGCCCCCGATGACAGGCAGGACCCCGCCTGCGTGACGCATACAGCTCAGAATCCCGGCCTGACTGCAGTTGGGAGAGCAGCCGCCCCCTCCCAGCCGAGCGCCGCGTGCTGGTTTCCAGCTTCCCCGCCGGCTCGTGTGTCAGCGTGTCCTCTCTCCACACCGCGTCTGTATACGCTTGTGCTCTTCTACACGTGTGAAACCCGCAGTGCTTTTCTCAGCCCTGAGGTACGCTGGGTTTTTCTTCCCGCAGGATTATGTGCTCGCCGTGGAGGCGTACCATGCGGTTATCAAGTATTACCCAGAGCAAGAGCCCCAGCTGCTCAGCGGCATCGGCCGGATTTCCCTGCAGGTACGTGGGCACGCTCAGATGTGAGCCAGAGGCACAGGCAAAGGGCCTTATGATAGGAGTTCTTTGCTTGGATGTGCGACTGTTTGCTTTTAATCATTTTAATATGAGAAAGACTGCAGAAAAGATTCCAATTCCAATGTGTGTGACCATGAAAAGCGGGGGTGCTTTCCAGGGTTCTGGCTGGACTGTGGGAGGCCCAGTTCCAGTGTGTGTGACCATGAAAAGCGGGGGTGCTTTCCAGGGTTCTGGTTGGACTGTGGGAGGCCCTACTGGCTTTTGTGCCTGTTGCTAAAGGTGAACCCACAGAAAGTGTATCGCAGCCGCACTGAAACAAGTTACTCTAGACACTGTCCTGCCGCAGTTACAAAAGCGCTGACTGAACCGTGAGGAATCTTAGTTCAGCTTAGCCCATAATAGTCACTTGCTGATATTTTGCCTGAAGAACCCTTGAATCATGTTTGCTGGACAAAGTCCAGACTGAACGGTGGTCTCAATAATGCACAAAGCTGGGACAGGACCCCCTTTGCTAAGAATGTCCTTGAAGCTGGAATGCATTTTCCTGGGATATTTGGTGACAGGGAGGTCACGGGGAGAGATGAGTGCCGCCCACATCCCTGTCAGTCTTTCACCCTTGCAGGCTGAGCACAGGGCAGCTTCCGCCCCGTCCACCCTCAGTCTTCTGAGGTCACGTCCCAAACCTGGGCCAGGGAAAGGAGTCACAAGCAAGGGACCGCTAAGGGGGGAGAAGCAGCACAGACCTTCCACAGGCACCCACTCACCGTGAGCCAGGCCCCGTGCTGAGCGTTTCACCTCACGGTGTGACTAGCTTGTTTTACAGATCAACAAACTGAGGTCTCCTGATGAAGTGAAAAATCCAGTGACAGGAGGCCACATAGATAACGGGGGAGCTAGAATTTGAACAGGGCCTCTGTGAACGCAGGGCCTGCGCTCTCTCCGCTAACAGCTGGTCCTCTCCTCCCCCACACAGTTGCTCACACATGCACTAACACACGTAGGAACATGTGCACACACCATCTCCTGCACGCTGCCTGCTTGTGGAAATCCACACGGGACACCAGATAGTGTTGGAGGACAGCCCTGTCCATGGGCCCCTGTGGTGGGGCACAGCAGATGACTGTCACTGAATAATCCAGAGCAGGCACAGATGCGTGGCGCGTGAGCTGCCACCATGGGCATCGGCTCCTGCCTGCGCTGGGATGCTTGCAGCAACCCTCGTCGCCGGTGTGAGAAAGCTCCATGTGGCCGGGATCTCCAGGGTGCTGACGTGTATCATTATCCCCTGGTTATCACAGTAAAATAGTACGCTGGGCCTGCTCAGATTCCTCACTACCCTGCAGACAATCTCGGAAATTTTATTTCAGAGGCGTAGTATGCACAGTTTGAGAAGTAGATGCTGAATTGCTTTTGCATCTGGAAGTGCTTCTCCTTCCAGTGGAAGCCACTGACTTGACCACAGTGAGGGCTCTGGCAGTGAGACTGGAGTCTCAGGAGGGAGGCTCAGCTTCCACAGCGTGATGTAAGCCCCGTCTGGCGCACGGAATGTGCTAAACGGGCTGTGAGGGAAGCCCTCGGCGTTCGCTGTCCTGAGGACCCAGGGAGGTGACAGCGGCTCTGTGTCTGGGCAGGAGATTTTGCCAAAGGAGAATGGAGAAAACGACGGAAGCACCCAGGCCGACTGGACTCACTGACGCCCCACACAAGCACTGTTCCGTCTGCACCTCTTGCAAATTATTTATCAGACCTCGCTCACGGGTATTTGTGTTGTTGCTGAAGAGCAAAGTCTCTGAATTCTGTTTCTCTAAAGGAAATGGAGATCGCAGTACTTAGCCATTTGGGGTATCTGAAGACATTGTGCCATGGCTGCTACAGAACTTCTCAGACAGCCTCGCGCGACGGACGGCTGCACTGCCATCTGCGCACACAGAAAACCCAGCCCCTGGAAGTTCCTGCTTCGGCAGGTCAGTGTGTGGTCTGAAGATGCTGGATCTCGGAAGGAGAGTGAAGCAGGCAGGTTTTGCCCTAGAAGAACATAGCCATTTGTGGGAGTCGAGGCCCAAGAGCGCCGTTGCGATCAGCAAGAACGACCACATGTCAGCCCAGTGGGTGCCCGAGCACACAGCTGACCCCCACCCATTCTGAAACCCTCCTGGGTGCACCGCCTATATCGCCAGCCGTCTCCTGTGCTGGGGCTTGTGCCTCCTCATCTCCGCTGGGTTCAGCAGAGGGTTGCAGAGGCGGGACCCTGTGTGTACACGTGGTGCTGAGCTGCCAGAGATCTCAGCACGTCCCTCATCCCCCGTCCTGTGTGCAGCTGCCATTAGCCTTCCTGGAGTACACTCCACCCTGCCGTCTCTGCTCAGAGCTCCTGCTGGGGCCCTGTGGCCTGTCCGCTGAGCCCACACTTAAAGTTCCCATTCAGAGCCCTAGCTAATGTTTTCTAGCCCAGTGTTCTTCGCCTCGTGTCCTCAGTCCCACCAGACGGTTGATTTGCTGCTGCCCAGACAGGGCCACCCTTGCTGCTTTTACCTCTCGTGGGCTGTTCCTGCTGCTCGGAACTCCCTTTGCTTTCTGCCTGTGCAAACCCTGTTCGTTCTTCAGAGTTCACTGGAAGGACTTCTCTCAAGTCACCCCAGCTCTCTCAGCAAACTCTCCCTTCCCTCTTTCCCAAGGCATCTACGGGGATAAAAGCACAGGGCTCAGGAGCTGGGGTTTGGAACCAGACAGACCCGACCCCGGCTCGGCGGCTCAGGCTGGCGTAGACAGACCCGACCCCGGCTCGGCGGCTCAGGCTGGCGTAGACAGACCCGACCCTGGCTCGGCGGCTCAGGCTGGCGTAGCTCTGACGTGGCTGTGACATGGCTCTGAGCAGGTGGTTTCACCTTCATGGTGTCGGTCCCCCCCCACCCACAACTGCCTGCGGTAAACAGTCGTCATCGTCGTGTGTAGAGGAGGAAGTTTATCCATGTGAAATCCTCTGTGTCCTGCCTGGGACGTGCCAGGAGCACTGTAAGTGTGACTTGCTGTCTTTCATATATCTTGAGGATGGGGTGTGTTTGTTCCATTTCCTCTCAGATCCAAGTGTAAGGGCGGCATTCCCAGGTCACAGCAAAAGTGCATGTGCTCAGAATTGCCCTTGGAGACCCCACTCCCACAGCAGGGCATCCACCCTGTAGAGTGACTCCAGGGCACACATGGGCACGAGGCCCTCCAGGGTGGGTAGTAGGAAGGGGCAAAAGCAGTGTCCCCACACACGCATCCAGACACTCAGACCCCACGCGCCAGCCTCAGAGCTCCTGCCGGTGCACCCTACTCACCCCCAACGCTGCGTCTCAGCACAGGATGGAAGATGCCACGTGGGGGCAGATCACGGCGATGTGAGGTCAGCAGTGCAGGACAGGATGGGGTTGAACTGGGACTCGAGTCCAGCAGAAACGCCTGAACTAAATGTAGATAGAGTTGACTCCACTCTGTTTTAAGGAGTAAGAACTCGAATTGAGTGACCACGTAAAAGCCAGTGCAGGCTCTGTTGCGAAGGGACGCGCAAAGCCAGTGCAGGCTCTGTTCCGAAGGGGCGCGCAAAGCCAGTGCAGGCTCTGTTCCGAAGGGACACGCACTGAGTGAGCACTTTACACTCAAGGGTGTTCAGTCCTGGTTCGATTCTTGGAGGAACAGCCCTCAGAGAATCACTTTGAAGAAAGCATGTGTGTTTTCCAGTTCCCGCAGTGCTGTTCTCCCTGAAGCACCTCATCAGTACCTGTATCTTAATTAGACGGTCTCTAAACTGGCTGTGTGCGAGCCATTCTGAAATGAGTTGGTGCCACTGTACAGAAGCAAAGAAGTATCACATGCACTCTCAGCGCCTGTGTGCTGTGCTGTCAGGATATCAGAGGGGTACATTTCATAAGAAACGCGTATACTAGTAACCATTCCTCAAGTGATAATACTGAAGGTGCTTAGAAAGTACAGGACGAGGTTTTGGTTGCAGTCCGTGGAATCCACAGTGGCTGGTATAAGCAGAAAGTTTATTCACGGACAGTAGTACAGGGAATCTTCATGAGGGCCCAGAGACAGGCCATTCTAGGGCCACGAAGCCAGGATGCCCTAGCATGTCACAGAGGCCCCTCCAGCAAGAACAGCACTGCCAGCTCTGCCTGGCCTCTCAGAGTCTTGTCCCCACCCTGAAGACCCAGGTCCCCAGGTCCCTCACATGGCCTCCTTCCACTTCCTCAGGCACCGTCATCTTACATGCATGCGTCTCTCTGGGGGCCCAGGCCGCAGGGGCGCCCGTCCTGCAAGAGTAGGAATGCAGGCCTCCTGGGTCCTCCTTGAAAAGACCCCTAACAGGTGGGAAATGGGCAGAATCAGGGAAGGCAGCCAGCAGCAATCATGAGCGTTCCTTGCGAATCATGTTGTAACATCTGAAGTCATATAACAAAGCTAATCACGCGTGGAATAAGACTGATTTCGTTTCCCTGAGATGAAAGTTTCTACTCTATATGCTTGGAAATACAAGGGAGGCTCGGTATTTTCTGCAATCTTGAATGCGATCTCCAGACCAAGGAGGATTTGTGTTTCATCAGCACTGGAGGTTGGAGATGAGGTGTGCATCGCGTTGATGCTGGGTCTCGGGGAGAAAGCTAGGAAATGTCCCCAGCAGGTAGGGAAATGCTTGGCAAAGCACGAAGGCGGAGGGACCCACGTAGCTGGACCCATTCTGCTCATGCCCTGGCACTGCTCCGAGAACTGTGGTTTTCCAGATCAGCCCTAGCAAGGAGGGAGCACAGGCAGAGCCGCTCCGTGGGGAAGGCAGATGTCAAGCTCCTAAGAAGGACCTGTTCCACAAGAAGCTGACGTGCCCCTCCCCAGGGACCCGAGCCGAAAGGCCATTCTTCCAGGGCAGCATCCCAGGGCACTGCTTTGTGTGGTTGGCATCCCCGGCAGATGATGGCCTGCTCTGCGTGCTGTCCCCGCTGTTCCTGCTGGGCTGTCTGCAGTGTGTCCTGATCACCCTCTCAGCTGGCAGTGCGCACTGCAGTGTGAATCTTCCCATGGAAAGCTGACCAATCCTGCCTCCACCGGTGCCATCACCAAATCAGTAACGGAGCAACCTCAAACGTTTCTGAACGTTTAGGTCACATCTAATACTTGGCGAAAGAGTGGGCTGAACACCTCCGCCCTCAGCTTTCTGTGTGTGCGTGAGTGTGTATAGCAGAGTCTGAGAAACAGCCACTTTTCTCTCTGTGTGCGTGAGTGTGTATAGCAGAGTCTGAGAAACAGCCACTTTTCTGTCTGTGTGCGTGAGTGTGTATAGCAGAGTCTGAGAAACAGCCACTTTTCTGAGTTTGGGAAAATTTAAACAAGAGCACTAAAAAGCAAACACTAATTGAAAGGGAAGTATTTTGCATTTTCATTCTAAAGAGCGGAAATAGAAAAAAATGATTTTACTAAAACAAAATATGCAGACACCTTTGGGAAAACGTGCTGTAAAGGAAGCATGCTAACTCCAGAGATGACCCAGCCAGACAGAGGTGAAAGGGGTGGACGGACAGCAAGGTTCTAGATGATTCCACACAGTTGGGCTGAGACCACTGACACTGCACCTCCTCTTTGTGTTTAAAATTTTGTGTTGAATGTAGGTGCCTTTAAAATATGCGAGCTAGAAATAGGAAACTCACTCACCACACCAGCAGCTGCCATTTCACACGAGAAGATACACTGGCGAATACAAGGATGGCCCAGATGCCCTCACTTTGTGTTAGGGCTCCAAGGAGCAGACTTTCTATTTTAATATTTCAAAACATATTCTACTTTTGAATAGCAATCCTTGCTCTTTCCAAGAAGTTCAGAGCATAATTCCGGGCACTGAGCAAAGGGTCATCTATTCAGTTTGTGTGCTGTTCACATTACAGCTAGAAACCCTGGCTCCAATGGCAGAATCGTACTTGGGATTTAATGCCTGCATATAGGGGAGGATCCATCTCTCACCTAGGCCTCATCCTGCAGGCGGGACTGTCATAGCCACGTTCCCTGCCAGCTGTTAGCGCACCCTCCAGCCAGGTGACAGCCGTGTTTAAAACTCACATGCCTGCTCTGAGCGTTTCCACCGTCCCTTCACCTTCATCACACAGAGCTTCCCGTAGAGCACTGGGACCTCCACACTCTAAGGGGGCTGGGGGTTAGGAGAAGAGAGAGTGGGGCCCGTGGGAATTTCCACTTCTGAAAGAAATCTGTGTTGTAAGCGAGATTGGAGACATTTGTATTCCAGAGGAGTTTCTCACATAATCGAAATTAAGGAAGGGCAGAAGCAATCGATCTTCAAACAGAAGCAGCGTTATACTTCTTAAAATTACTTCACTGCATAGATGCCACCTCCTCAGACTCTCTTGACTTGGGTCTTAGAGACTCCTCACTGGGACTGGGACTCGGAGGCTCCTCACTGGGACTGGGACTCGGAGGCTCCTCACTGGGACTGGGACTCGGAGGCTCCTCACTGGGACTGGGCCTCGGAGGCTCCTCACTGGGACTGGGACTCGGAGGCTCCTCACTGGGACTGGGAAGGGAGCTGTGGTGCGCAGGTGCAAGTCCAGCAGCCGAGCACAGGTGAGGGGCCTGTGCTTGGCATTGGGGCAGCTGAGCGCAGGGTGGTTCTGCAGTGTCTGTGGCCAGTCCCAGGCCTCGGTGTCCTGGACCAAAGGTCAGAGCCCAAAGTGATCAGGCAGGAGAAAGCCTCCGCCGCTGCAGGAGTGGTGGGGAGTCTGGGATAAACCAGCCACCCCAGGCAGGACGAAGGGGGATGGGATGCAGGACCACCCAATGCTATGGCTGAGAGGACCTCAGCAAGAACCAAGGTCACCTCTGACCGAGTTCCCAGAGGGCAGGGACCCAGGGCAGGGTGGGGAGACGCTGCGGTGGAAGAAGGGAAGGAAGGGTCAGGGAGGCACTGTGAAGCTGGGAAAGACTTGAGCATGTTTTACAGAGGGGCATGACCCCAGGCTCCAGGAGGGATGCGGGCACCTTGACCGTCTCAACCAGGAGGGTAGTTTTACACACACAGCCACGTACCAGAACCCCTCAGGCTGTACAGTCTGAAGACATGCAGGTTCCTGTGCATCAGCCACAGCTCAACAGAGACGTTCAAATAGAGAAAGAAGAGACTCACTTGTGGCTGCCACCCTGAGCCGGGGAGTGTGCTGGCTCCGGTCAGGGAAAGAGTGGGGAGAGCGTCCCCCAGCCCCTGCCACCCTGTCAGGCCTCATCATCCTGATGTGACACCAAAGTGCAAGGAAAACGGAAATGCACGTAAAGGAGGTTTCACCAAAACTACAAACTGTTGTGCTTTAAAGGACACCATAAAGAAAAAGTAAAAAGACCACCTACAGAACGGGAGAAATTATTTGCAAATCGTGTATCTGACAAGAGACTTACATCCAGAATCTATAAAGAGCTCTGACAGCTGCTAAAGAAAAACACAATGCATGGCAGTAGCATGCAGAAGGCGAAGAGACTGGACTCAACTCCGACTTCACGGAGGACAGGTGGGAATTGACAACCAGGGACCAGGGTCAGGGTCAGGGTCAGTGGATGGAAAATTACCCAGAGGAAGCATCAAGAAGGGGTTTCTGGCCAAGCAGACTTGATAGGATCGTCGCTGACAGCTGGCCAGAGTAGTAGGATCTCCAGGTGTTAAGGCACCAAGGGCAGGGATTTTTCTTAACTGACTTAGCAGGATTCTTCTCACACTGGATTCTACAAGGACAGAGAAGGAAGCCAAGGTCGAGCTTGTCTAGTAGAGGAGGCTTCTGCGCGGATGCAGCCTAATTTATGCATTGACAGCCTGCCTGGTTCCCAGCAGGCCCTCGGCTTCTGCGGAGAGAGCAGGTGAGGGGGGGTCAGAGGAAAGCAGAGGACCCCTGGGGCCGGCTCTGCTGTGCTCACGACGGCGGGTGGGGAAGAGGAGCTGGTGAAGGAGAACTCAAGAAAAACATGGAAGAGAAGCTAGGGTATTCTGAAATAGATCACATCTTTTATTGGTGTATGTACATTAGCCTGAGGGGATTTGCCCAGTTGGAATGCAACAGTTTTTCTGATAGGCTTTAAAATATAAGAATGTTTTATAACATAAAAATTTAGACTAAACAAGTTTTCTGTGTTGGTTTTGGGTAGGGTTTTTTTGGTGGTTTTGTTTGTTTGTTTGTTTTTGAGACAGGGTCTGGCTGTGTCACCCACACTAGAGCGCAGGGGAGCAAATGCAGCTCACTGCAGCCTTGACCTCCTGGGCTCAAGCAATCCTCCCACCTCAGTCTCCCGAGTAGCTGGGACTACAGGAATGCACCACCACACCCGGCTAAGTTGTTTGTAGAGATGGGGTCTTGCCATGTTGCCCAGGCTGGTCTCAAACTCCTGGCCTCAAGCAGTCCTCCTGCCTCTGCCTCCCAAATTGCTGGGATTATAGGCATGAGCCACTGGGCCCAGCTGAAATGAGTTTTCTGTATCAATTACAGACCTATGTTTCCGTGACTGAAGTTGATCAGTGGTAAATATGAAAAGAACTGGGGTTTCTGGCTGACTACGGATTTAATGTCATCTAGCAACCTATGCGGCTGTTAACATAGCCGTGCTGTTTTTGGATGGCTTAAAATCATCTGATGCCCACACCACAGAGAAGAGTCGTTCTTGCCTTCCTCTCCACTCAACAGCTCACAGCCACGGACTGCGGGACACTCTGCCTTGAGAAAGCTTTAAAATGGCCATTGCCTGTCTGTAACGGCTTCCGTGCCACCAGGGTGGTGAGGAACCCCAAACCTGCGACAGAGAAGCAGGTGAGAGAGCTGAGAATGGGAGCTCTCTTCACCATCCAGAGGGCTGCCAGGTGGAGAACAGAGTGGTCGAGATGGGATGCACTGGGTTGGGAGACAGTGGCCTCTCCTGCCCTGGCAGAGTCCCAGGGGTCCAGCAGCTCTGCAGGGCACTCCCTCCATGCAGTGGTTCTGGGACCCAGGTTGCCCTCTCCTGTGGCCCCATCATCTGGAACCTGTGCCCTCCAGGTTGCTGCCAGAGGGGAGGGCCCCACCCAAGGCCAGACACAGACCCACGGCACCCCCAGCCCTCAGTGCCTGTGTGAGTCGGGGCTCTCTAGAAGGACAGGACTCATAGGATAGATGAATCTATGAAGGGGAGTTTATTAGGAGAATTGCCTCCCGATCACAAGGTGAGGTCCCACAATAGCTTGTCTGCAAGCTGACGGGCAAGGAAGCCAGCCTGAGTCCAAAAACCTCAAAAGTAGGGAAGCCAACAGTGTAGCCTTCAGTCTGTGGCCAAAGGCCTGAGACCACCTGGCAAATCACTGGTGTAAGTCCAAGAGTCCAAAAGCTGAAGAACTTCAAGTCTGATGTTCGAGAGCAGGAAGCCTCCAGCACAGGAGGAAGATGAGGCTGGAAGACTCGGCGAGTCTGCTCTTTCCGACTTCTGCCTGCTTTATTCTGGCTGTGCTGCGCTGGCAGCTGATTAGATGGTGCCCACCCAAACTGAGGGGGTCTGCCTCTCCCAGTCCACTGACTCAGATGTTCAACTCCTTTGGCAACACCCTCACAGACACACCCAGAACAACACTTTGCATCCTTCAATCCATTCAGGTTGTTGACACTCAGTATTAACCATCAGCGCCCAGCGAGGCGGGAGCCGGACCCAGTGCACGGTTCTAGTTTCTGCCACAGGAACACTAACGATGTGTTGCTCCTAAACTCAGAACCAATAGGTTGGAGCTCCAGGGGTGGCATTTCCCCGGGTTTTTGCGTTTGTGAGTGATGTTGGTGTCTGGTTTGTGTGTGCACAGGTGACACCTCAAAAGGATATGGCGGCATATAGGTTAGAAGCTGTCTTGCTCCCTCTCTGGAAAACTTTTGAGTAATATGGAATGATCTATTCCTTGAAGGTTTGAGTATTCACCTAAGAATTGCCTTTGCTGAGCACATGAGGTGTGCTGTGTGCTTTTCATAATTTATTATTAGTCTGCCTTAGTGTTGTGTGCCTGAGGATTTTTCTGTGTTTCTGGGAACAGTTTTTAATTTAGAGTTTTCTAGAAAGCCACCTGCTTTGTCCCTGTTTTCTCATGGATTTGCACGGAGTAAAAGACAGTGCTCTTATCACTTCAGTTTCCTTTTTCTGCCTGTAGCTGTTTCTACTTTTACATTTCTGTTTATGCTTTTCTTTTTCTGGATTAGTTTATACACTTACTATTTTTTGTTTTTTGTTTGTGAGACAGGGTCTTGCTCTGTCTGCCAGGCTGGAGTGCAGTGGCACAATTAGGATTCACTGCGGAACTCCTGGGCTCGAGAGATCCACCTGTCTTAGCCTCTCATGTAGTTGGGGACCACAGGTGCCTACGGCCACACCTGGCTCATTTTTTTTTTTTTTTTAATAGAGATAAGGTCTCACTTTGTTGCCCAGTCTGGTCTTGAACTCCTGAAATTAAGCGATCCTCCCAGCTTGGCCTCCCAAAGGACTGGGATTACAGGTGTAAGCCATCATGCCCAGCCACGGTATTTTCTTTTTAATAGTGTCCTTTACTGATTTGTTGTCTACATATTCTGGAATGCTTTTAATTGCCTTTTTATGTTTAATTTTTTCAGTTGCTCCTAACTTTTAGAAATCGGTAGAATTTTATATCCTAATAACATGTTAATAATTCTGAAAATGTCAACTTACTTTCTAATCATCAGGAAGATCAGTGGGTAGCAAAGAATTTCCCAAGATTTCTCTGTTCTCTTCCTCTAAGACATTGTTTCAGTAAAGTCCCATGCCAGCCTCAGGAGGCCTTGCGGTGCGGAGGATCAGCACATGGTCTGGGCTTTGGGCAGGCCTGGGTGTTGACCCCACACTGTTCTGTGGTAGCTGTGTGACCTCAGAAAATTGTCTCGTCTTTCCAAGCCTTACTTTCTCATCTAGAAGCAAAGCTAGTGACAGCGTCTGCATCACAGGCTGTTGGGAGGTTCAGGCGAGCTGTGTTTGAAACACTTGCTGCAGCTGCCAGCACATGTTAATCTTGGTCAGTCTTTTTTTTTTTTTTTTTTTTTTTTTTTGAGATGGGGTCTCACCCTGTTGCCCAGGCTGGAGTGCAGTGGCCGAATCTCAGCTCACTGCAAGCTCCGCCTCCCGGGTTTACACCATTCTCCTGCCTCAGCCTCCCGAGCAGCTGGAACTACAGGCACCCGCCACCTCGCCCAGCTACTTTTTTGTATTTTTTAGTAGAGATGGGGTTTCACCATGTTAGCCAGGATGGTCTCGATCTCCTGACCTCGTGATCCGCCCGTCTCGGCCTCCCAAAGTGCTGGGATTACAGGCTTGACCCACCGCGCATCTTCAGATCAGTATCACAGCGGTCCTGTTAAACAGGACGTTAGTTAATGCAGGAGATGCAGGCATTCGAGCTGAGGGCCGTATCATGGAGCCCATGCTGCCTTTGGTTTCTTTTTAGTCAGCAAGTGGGAAGTCCATAGTAGTGGACTTCAAACCCCTTCGGACTGTGCACACGAAGGGCAGCGATGGACAAACGCTGTTCCATGTGTGGTGTGTGTGCACACCTGTTTTCTTTGTGTTTCATTGTTTTTCTTCCTCCTCGTGTGGTATTTCTTTTGTGGGGTAACAGCAACAGTTGTGAAGGGCCTGAGATGTTATCCTATGTGCAAGCTGTAGAGTTAGCTGCCATTTTCATGGATGCTGGCGAAAAAGTGTAAGATTCTTAGGTTAGAGATGAAGGACATTTATTACACAGCAACAGCAGCACAGCCAGAGTGGCATTCTTTCCGCCAGACACGGGGCCCTGATTCCTCGGGGTCTTCACCCAGGGCCTCGTGATGCCTGCAGTGGGCTGTGTGGCTGCAGAGGAATCCTGAACGTAGAACACCCAAATCCTTGCTCCTGGGAGGTGAGCCTGCCTGCCCGCCCTTCGCCGCAGAGGGACGCGGTTTAGCTTACAAGGCTGTCCTGTAAACAGCGTCCTTGTGTAAATGCTTTGAACAGAGCCCTGTCGGTGTCTGTGCTTGGAAGACATGCAGATACATGACAGCCATGGAGAACCACCTCCCCACCAGTCATCTGAGAAGTTAGCAGGCTTGTTTCGTGCTGGACAGATGCTGGCGTGGGAAGTCTGAGAGTTAACTAGGCTGCTCAGCGATGATAGCGCTGGGTCCTCCAGCCCTCCTCACGGAGCTGAGCCGCGCACTTTCAGCTTGTTTCTCCTCGGGACAGGACAGCATTCTGTGAAGCTTCTGCTGCCGCCACGAGCAGAGCTCGCTGTGGCAGAGCCCGACTCCTGCAGGCTGCGTCCCGGACACAAGGCAACTCTGTGTTTTCC